TTCTTTACATTCTGTCATAATGGACAAACTACGAGTGACTTAGCCGGGCAGAGTTTAAAAATTAGAAACAAATTGTAGATGTCAGATTATTCTGACTTTTAGGGATTATGTTTTATTTATTATTTTATTTATATTGTCAGTGTCATTTTTCTCAGTGCTACAATTCGAATGGGATGTATCAGCTCATTATACATGATTCTTTGAAGCTTGAGTTGCTTTCATTGCAGCGGTTAGCACATGTTCCACCACAAATCGCACACAGATGTTATTCTTCCCTGGGTGTAAAGGTAATTTTGTGTTTCATCATATCAACAAACCTATTTGTACATGAGACATTGACATGATTTTACGTAGCTTAAAATAACAGTTACAAATGGCTCTAAATAAGGAAAATAATGCAGCTCAATTTCTTGTTAAAACAAGAATAAATCACAGATTCTTCGAAGTCAGCAACTGAAGTGTGACCACATCCAGAAAATATTCTGTAAAAACAAACATATTTCCAATCAACCACCCACCTCGCCCTGCAGGATGAGAGTGTTTTACCCCAAACTCTCTCTCTCTCTGTCTTTCTCTCTCTCTCTCGCTCTCTCTCGCCCTCTCCCTCCATCTTTCTCTCCTCTATGTGATTTGCATTCAATACGAATGGAGGTAATTATGTGCGTGTGCAGCGCTGATAAAGAGAACAGCTAAAAACTTGTCTCTGCTTGATTTAGAAAACTCTTCCCTTTCCTTGTACTGTCTGTTGCTGCAGCTCCTCTTTCAGCCTCTGTCTGAAACACTGTCTCCTTGAGGCTCCCCTCCTGATGAAGGCCAGTCTGCTCTGAATGGCTTACCACTTCCAGCCTTCATCTAAAATTCTCTTTGCTCTCGCTTCACCTTGCTTTTTTCCGCCTCTTTTATCCCAAAATAAGCAGTTGTGTGCACGTTTTTTAAATGTGGGCAAACCGTCTAAACAAACTTAAATGCACAATATGTATCTTTTAAGTTCTGACATTTAACATTATCACCAGTTGTTGTAGCAGTGAGCGTTGGCCTGCACTTCACACTTCTTCACCTTTTTCTCCACTATTGCTCTTTAACAAGTTATCTCACACCAGCTAAGCCTGACGCATTGCCACTAATACACCCTCCTACAGCACAAAGGCTTTTCCGATATAACACTTCACTGTGCTTTAATACATTATGACTCGCTCTGTCTGTGGCCATCAAGGTCTGATCCTGCATAGTATGTGTGGGCATGCAGGTCCATCATCATATGGTTACTGGACTGAAAACAAGGTTCTCATTCAAATTCATCCTCGTGGTTTGAGTTATTAGAAGAACTAATGCAATCACATAAAACAAAACCTGCGTTACATGGATATCATGAGGTTTGAGCTGGACTCTTAGCAGAGAAGTATAAGAGAACATTTGAGAGCGGAGCGGCTGCTGCAGGTTTGTGTCACAACAGGCGCACACTTTGTTGATATGACAACAGCCACTGGCGACGAAAGAACAGCTTATTTTCTGTGGAATATTTATGGATTATTTCCAGTTCTGTTCGCGTGGTTAATCTTTTAGAAAAACAGTAACCAGCCTTAGTAAAATCAACTTTGAGTAATTTCGTTTTTTAATTTGCTGTCTCTCAGTGAGTGTTAAATGCTAATGTGTGAATGCAAGTCATTCTACATCTGGTTAGGTTTTTTTCAACGCTCACTCAAAATAACTGCACTTATTTGTTGTCTCACAATCTGTTTAATCAGTTGTAAGTTTATCAATTTCAACCATTTTATTATACTTTGAACTAAAGTCCAATTTATTTTCTTCAACAAATGTATTCTGCTAATGTGGCATTTGATCGCTGGCTCATCAAGCAATCTAGCTTTCATGTTTATTTTTTTTAAATTGGATGTTGTCATTTTAACACAATGTTTTGTGTAGTTTTATTATTGTGTGGTTTTACATGCATGTTTTTATTTGTGAAGCACTTTGTGGCTTTGTTTTGAGAAGAGCTGTATAAATAAAGATATTATTCTCTTTTTTTTCTTGTGCAAATGTGGATCTGGCATTAATCATAATCACTAAGTGTTATCAGACATACAGTGATATAATTAGAGCCTCTATTTAAAGCTGAAATTAAGACTATTTGTGATAATTGCTGGGGGAGGCCCACTCTTCTCCTTTTATGCAAACAAACCAACTCAATGGGAACAATACTGCAGATGTGCCAGTGGACCGGTTCAGGTTAAAGGTTTACCACCACATTCTTGTTTCAGCAGTATTAAATTTAATATTGATCAAGCGTGTCGTGTTGTAATCACTTTGAGAAATACTCAACATTAGACAACATCTTACGCAGCAAAAAGTTGCTGAAGTTAGATTATTGCTGCATTCGCAGATGCAGGGGTGTTGAAGCAAAAATGCTTCAGAAGCAGAATCTGAGGTGTTGAAAGCGTTCATGAAATTAGTTATTGAAGAATGTGATTTGCCTTTTGTTCTACATGATGGAAGCTTCATTTAAATGGCAGAGACAAATGACTTTTGTGTCTAAGAGGACAATACAGGTATTTGTCTGTAGCCAAAACACACACAACTCCAGAGCACCTGCAGAGACAGACACGATGAATGTGAGTCAGAGGAATTTAAGGTATTAAAGATTCTAAATAGATGAATCAAATAACGTAGAGACAGAACAATAAGGATGACAGCAGATCAAGGGCCTCAATTGGCAGCTCCGTATCTTCCCTGTTTGCCAGGACACGAGGGTCGGGCAGGACTGTGACACAACCCTGCTGGATCCAACTGACCCAAACTGCACCCACACGAGTTATAATCAGCAATCACATAAGCTCTGTTGCTGTGCATTGGGTGCTTTTTTGCGAGGAGTGAATGTCACGGTAGTTTCTTGCTCTCATTTCTTTGCACACTGCTCTGAAAAAGCCTCCCAGGTCCACATGAGATCGAGCAGGATGATGCAAACTCTGTCCACACTGCCACGTCTGATGAGGGAGATGGTTGCATCTCATTTACAACACCACAACATTAAAGGGCATGGCAGGATCAGAGGAGTATGATGAGAGACGGACGCTTTTGTTGAAACAAAAAGTGTACGTTTGCAGATTGTGCAATAAAAGTGTAACAAAGCAGAGTGCAAGTTTCTGTTCGACAGTAACAAACAGAAAACGATCATTTTACCAGCAGACACAAACAGTCTTTTCATTCAGTGTACGTTCACTTTCATCCTGTTTGTTCAAAATGTCATTCCTCTGTCTGTCACCTTCGCTGTGAAAGCAATGAAGTCTGACTTTTTCTCTTTTCATTCCCTCGTCAGTATGTAGAGAGTCCACATTTCTTCAACGCATGATCAATTGTCACAGTGCAAAAACAAAAGCGGCACATATTCACACGTTCCACAACAACACCTCCCGAGCGCACACACTCACCCACTTAGGCGAGCGTGCACACACGCACACAAGCTACAGCACATTCATATACTCACATTAAGTAGCTAACGTGATGATTCTTTGAATGCTCAGCATCTGCGTGTATTCAGTCGCCCACAAACGCTTATATAACAAGTGAGTACATGGTCTTTTAACATTATAATCAAACATTTGTCCATGTGGTAAAAAAGATTGTTTCATAATTAGACTGTGCTGCTCACAACAAGGCGGTGTCCTTTTCCATCTCTCTGCTCTGGACAGAAACAGAAAACACCTAATTGATGAACTTCTAGGAAAAATAAGAGCTGTCACTTCTTACTCTGAACATAATCCTTCTGACATAAGACCTTGGAAAGGATCATCGACTGCTTATTTGCCTCTGCAAACTTCCAAATGGAGAAAATGTGTGGCTGTTCTGGAAATGGTATCAAACCACCGACCTTCTGGTTAGAGGACGACCCACTCTACCCCCTGAATAAATGTTAATGTTAATGTTAATACATTTGCAGCAAGAAATATAATTCACTTATTTAAACTTCTCCAAGGAGTTTTCTACAAGAAACAGCTATGTTTACATTTTGTGTGTATCACCCAGATTTAAATATATTGATCATATTTCCTTCCTCACAAACCATTTGCATTATTATTTATTGGTTGAATTAAAGTCCAGTGTTGAACTATGGCAACAATGTAAATTGTGTGCATGTGTGTCTTTAAATGCAGTTACAGAATCGTGCTTCATTTTCTGCAATGTGTACGTGTTTATTTATGGTTTATTTGTTGGGGACAGATACACTTCATCTAGACAACCTGAGAACAGCTGTGGATGCAAGCATCATAGTGTTTCTAGAGAATGCTAATTTATGTTGCGTGTGTACTTTCTAACCTTGATAAAAGCAGTTGAGCAGAAAAAAACAACTTAAAGTCCATTAAATAGCTGTTTTGGAGCTTTTCACTAATGATTGCCATCAGTGGATAAAACTTGCCCAGGTCAAAGAAAGTCGAACATTAATGAAAAGTTGTGAAAGAGTTCAGTAAAAACGGAAATGAAAACCATGTGATATGACTCAAAGCTCCAGAACATTGACTTCAAAATTGAGGTGAGGTACTTGTCATCTTCATCTTTTTAAAAGATGTCAAATCACATTTGCTAAATTATCAACGCTGTGTGGCGTCGTCCACTCTTCTACCGTGACACTCTGCAACCCTGCGTGTCTCCACATTCTCCAGGGACTTCAATCATGTTAGTTTTTGCACATTCCCATTTGTTCCTCTTTTTTCTGTTCACTAACTGTGTATAGCATTTATTGTGTTTGGTTTTTTTTAATTTAACATGTTCTACTTCTTTACTTCTTTTGCATCAGTCATGTGTTGAGCAAGTGTGACAAAACAATTTCCCTGCAGGCAACAATAAAGCTTTTCTGATTCGGACTGTGACGATGTGAGCCACTAGCAATAAATCATAATATTTGGTCTGGCTTCAAGCTGCAGAGCTGCATTTTCTGAACTAAAATCTCATACTGCACTCATGAAATATTGGCATTTAGAAATTATATCTGAAACGATCTGTCAATCAATTATTAGAAATGGATTTATTTCCAAAGTATCATAAAATTGCTTTTCCCAGTCCTACTTTTCCCACAAGGCTTCTGTAACTAGACCGTCTACAGCGGAGTGCTGTTGCATCTCTCCAACCCTTTTAGTTTAAGAACCCGCACCCCTGGTCTGCTCTCATCCAGGTAATCCAGGACGGGGTTATCATATGCCTGCTGTGCTTTCCTTTGCACAGACTCTTTCTCTTGGTCGACAGGGTTCATCTGTGTTGATATATGCTCCTCATCTTCCTCCCCCGGCCCCTCCTCGCACAGCGAGCTGCAGCAGAAAGTTGTCTTGGCGATCATGCGGTCAAGCGGTTTGAGAGAGCGCATCCACTGGGGCAGGAAGTCCCAACTCTGGAGCTTGGCAGGCAAGTGACGGGGGCTGTGGGCCTGCAGCATATTTACCATGGCAATGAAGATAGACACGCCCAGGAAAGGAGCCCCAACGCCAGCCATCACCCGCCAGCCAGCCAGTGAGAGGCCCAGCACCAGCGAGGGAAGGAGTAGGAAGCACAGGAGAAGGTACAAGACTGCAAACCAGCGGTACTTGGCAGTGCGATTACCCAGGATGCGAGCCATCCTTATCGGCAGACGCATGAAGGGAAGAGGATACCACAGCAGGATGCCAAAGACATTGAAGAAGAGGTGACACAGAGCGATCTATGCACAAATATAATTATACAGTATTTAAAATATAAAAGTTTTAGGGACGACTCATCAGTCATTGCAACATTTTGGCATAAACAATTTTATGTCCTAACACTAAAAGGCCATCCATACAAAATAAAACAATAAATTTAACATTGATTATAAATAAATCATTTAAAAAATTGTTCTAACTAAAGGGGGATTGCTGAGCCCACACCAAAACAGTAACTAAAATTAAAGTGACAATAGTAAGTAGGGATCACTCAGACTGATTTGATCAACAATAGAAATACTGACAGCGAATAAAAGTATATCCACATTCAAAGGCTGTAGCATTGAAACGATCACATTTATGAGGGCAAATTACTTCTCCTCCACGTTAATAGATGAGAAATGGGCCAAACTTAAAATTCAAAGTACACATTAAATACATTTTGCTCAAAGAAAGTTTCTGTCATTGTTAGTTAGTTCTTATCACACTTCTGTTTGTTCCAGTGCTACATTTCCAGTAAGTTTGGTTTTAATTAATTAGTTGATGTTGTAAATACAGATTGAAACGTCACGATTGACACCTTAGATTGATTGAGCATTGCATCAGTGAGACCTCGTGACTACGGCTCCATCACCCGTTAGCTGCTGTGCAGACTCTGCCTCCAAATACAAAAATGGCAGCATTCATTACTGTCTATTGTATGGATGCTCACATAGTTATGGTTACTGTTATCATTCCCATTGTGAACGACCCTCACAGCAAGTATTGGTGCTCCAGTTTTATATTCAGTGTCTACTTACCTGCCCTCTGATCACGTGTGAAGCATAAATCCATGTTCTTAATTGTACATTTAAACATTTTTACACACTTATCATCATACATAGAAATCTTATTGTTGTGTTGCTGTCTGTGTTCTTCCTCATCTCTGAGAGTCACTTCAGTGGAAAATATATTCATGAAATGTCCTTATCTCTTTGTCGTTTCAGCCTACCTGCAAAGCAGCCGCTAGTTTGTTCCTGGGACTGGCCAGAGCTGCCAGCAGGGCTGTGGCAGTGGTGCCAATGTTGGAGCCCAGGGTGAGAGGATAGGCCCGCTCCAGACTGATCACACCAATACCTGAGAGAGGTGACAGCAACATTCTAGTCGGTGTAAACAAGGAAATTAAACAACGACAGTTAACCAGGAAATGTAAAAGCTACTGTCGTTTTCCTGTTTGTGTAAAATCCACAACAATCATCAGCTCCTGACATAAACAGACAAGTAACAAGGAAGATAAACAATCTCAGAAATGATCCCAGAAATGTCAAAATCAAACTACACTAATCGAACGTTTAAAAGAAAGAAAAGTTGAAATCTTTCCGAGCATAATAATGTAATAATGTCCTGATAATCATGGAGGCATAAATCGTGCTTTTAAAAAGAGCAAATTCAACTATTCGAATTATTAGTACAACATAAAATAATTAGTTCTCTGTGTTTGAGATGAATAAATATTTTAAAAAACACAGGCTGAAAAATTACTTTGCCAGAGGCAATGACTAATGAGTGTCAAAAGAGTGGCTGCTTGACCGAAACTGACAACCACAGCAAGACGACTCTGCTGCTGCATCCATGAAGCTAAAACTACTGAAATCACGTGAAAATGTTTATTCTCTGCCAGTTTGTTTTCATCGCGGAATACAAGACATAGTAAGAGCGAGGGATGAAGAAGAGGTAAAGCTAACATCCAGAGTGAAATAAACACATCCTTAATTTCATAAATCAAGTGTATCTGTGGATTGGAAATCCTCCTCCGTGTGTACGCTATCTTGCCTTTTAGCTTCATTTCAAACCAGTTAATTATTCCTGTTTAGAATGAGAAATTATTCCCATCTCACATTTATCGCTGTGTAGCAGGCTGATGGCTCTGATTTTACATGCTTCATTTAGCCAGGGGCATACAGTGCTGGTTATGCAACCTGCTCTTTCAAACGTCACAAGACTCAATCAGTGGAATTAAGCAGTATTATGTCCTTATTTGGCCCCAACTATAGCTGATCAACGGGTTATTAGTCATCAAGGGATTTCAAGTAATTTTCTGGAAAGTACGAGAACACAAGCAAATTAATCAGTTGATAAATACGAGACTAAAGTAAACGAGTTAACCTTTGGTCAGTGGACTGTTCATTTATCACTGAGAATGGCCGTTTAGAGAATGTAATCGTAAAACTTAAAACTTGGAGCAGAAAGCAGCGGCATTAAAAACAACAGTGCAGACTCTGTGCTCGATTACAGAGGTAATTACAGGAATGATTGACAGAAAGAATAACTCTGAGCTGTTGTTTACAATCATTCTCTCTATGCATGAAAAACATGAAATGACACGATCTATGTACACATGTGAAGTGACTGTGATTTCCAACATAAAATGCCCAAATCGGAGTTTAGAAAATTGATATGACTGCCACCTCTGCACAACGCTGACCCGCTGTGATACTCAGCACAGTACAGCTCTGGTTTAATGAGACAATCTCCCTGAAGGCCTGAACCTTATGAAATATGATAACAACGAGGTTAAGATGAGAAGAGACTTCACAACTCTCAAGCTGGACAATTGCTGGAATCATACGCAGATTATAAACAGAATGTTGTCTGAGCTCACACGACACAAACTGGAGAAACTGGGATTCAACTAAACATTGTATTTTACTAATCACCCATGAGAATAATTGTTTGTGTCAATCATAGACGTATATCAGGATGGACGAAAAGAAGGATCACAAAAGTTAAGTGTCATGATCGCGCGCTGGCTGCAGTATAGGTCAGAAACCCTGCCTCCTCCATGTTAATGGATGCAACATGGACCAAATTAAAAATTGAAAAAAACATGTTAAGTAATTAATTTTCAAAGGTTTCTGTCACAATACATAGTTTTTATCACTCTCATGTATGCCCAATTTTTCTGGTAAATGTGGTTTTAATTACTTTTTTGATACATCATGGAGCTGACTTGTGATTGGTTGTATTAGTGACAGTGGGAGGAAGTGGAGATCAATGTTAATGTTGAGTCTGTGGTGTGAATGGGACAAGTTAAAAACTGAGATCACAGATATGCAGCAGATCAAATGACTAAAAATTTGTATCATCTTGCATGAATTATATAACATGTGAAAACAGGTTTGAAATTGGAAAATAAAAACCCCAAGGTACAACTTCAATACAACAAAAATGAGTGCACCACTGATACCATCATATGATGCCACAGACAACACTGTGTCACATTGCATCGTATTGTATCATATGGTATTGTGTCATATCACCTATGAGCGGAGTCATGGCTGAAGTAAAAACCGAGCTACTCTGGACCACAAATGTCACTGCAGCTCCCACGCACATGGCCACGTATCCTGCCAGCCAACCGAACGGATAAGGCAGGTCTGTTGAGATAAGGAGCAGAGAGATGGAAATGACCCATATGTACTCAATGCAGCATCCAAAGCAGTGTCAGATAGCCTTTTTGGTTTCTTGCAGAAAAATTCAGTATTTGCTATATGCAGGAACACTGAGTAAAATCTCCAGCAGCTCAATGTATGCTCACCTGTGTTGATGACTTTATGGATGACCTTTGCTACATGGCCTTTAAGGAGAGAGTTGAGCAGCTTGACCAGAAGCAGCAGACAGGAGCAGAGGACAACCAGGGAGGCTGCGAGGAGAATCAGCCCCACGGTGAGGTCTGACAGCGGGGTGGAAACAAATAGATGCCTACCTGCAGAGTGATAGGGCGAACAATCATCAGGATGTTACCCCAGAGACAGCTGCTAACATTAGTGATACCATAATATGATGCCATAGGCCACATTGTATCCTATTGTGTTATGTCGTGTCGTATCATGTTGAATTGTATCGAGTCGTATTGTATCAAGAAATACATAATGATTATGAAGAGGGAGGGTTACATCCCTTGGAACTCACACTTCACTGACGGCTGGGACAATTCAGGACTGTGACCACAGCTTTCAGTGCTCACATTGTCTGTGGTCTGATGAAAGAAAGAAAGATGCTATTATGAAAATTGGCAGGAGACAGGCTATGCGGTGCCAGAATGTGACACGCGCACAGACATACAGCGGTGCAGACAAGTCATTACCGTAACAAGGTCAGTCTGGCACCATTCTTTCACCAGGCTCCTGTTCCTCATGTCCTTATTTCCCATGGCAATCCCTGTGATCACACAATTGTCCAGCTGAGGATGGAAGGAACAATATTTTTCAGCTCTCAGGGAAGGGAAGGTTAAAAGATCAAAATAACCTCCTTCACTTTTTTTAACCAGATGCCCTGGGTTCAGCTCCTTCACCTCATAGAACCTGACTGCCCTCTGAGCTCCACTCGTCTTACTGGTGATTAAGTCGATCAAGTTTTCTGTTCTCGCAGATTTACCACTTAAGTTATCTTCAGTTGTCAAAACAGTGGGCCCTTGGTTGAGTCAGAGATGTAGTTTTTCTTTTGTTGTTAAAGAAAGTAATACAAAAATTCCTGCATCCTTCTCCACTAAAGTTTAAAGCTTGGGTTACTTCTCCTGTGTTCCATCCTTCAACCAAAGACACTGTTGACAAACAAACCAACCAACTAACAAACAAACAAACCAACTACCCAACCAACCAACTAACAAACCAACAAACTAACCAACAAACTAACTAACCAACCAACCAACTAACACACAAACAAACAATCTACCCAAGCAACTACCCAGCCATCCAAACAACCAACTAGCAAACCAACAAACCAACCAACCATCCAACCAGACAACAAGCCAGCTGACAGAGGTGAAAACACAAACTCCATGGCAGAGGTAAAAATCTGAAATCTGACTCTCTTCTCTAACAGACTTTATATAATAGGTTTATCTGCTTAGATTACACTGTTTTATTTTTAAACAAAAGACAAAAGGTTTTAGGAGGAGGACTGACGAGTGTGTAGGATAAACTTTGGCTGAAGGACGGCTGCTAACGCTAACCTACAGTGTGCAGCATCCAGTGTGTGAGTCCACACAGCGAATAGATAACACAGTGGGTGTGTGAGTCATTTTTTAAACATAGCCAGGGCTTGATGGACGTTCTGTTGCTAAGCCCTGATTGCACAAGCTGCAGTGAAGGTCGGTTACAAATATGGTGATTGGCTAATAGATAAACCTGTATGATAAGCCTGGTGACTGGCTCAGTGATGACTTTGAGGAGCTCAGGTGCGTCCTCTCCAGGCCGGAGCTGGAAGCTGGTGACCAGCTGGTGGGACAGCCGGAACATGAACCCGCTCACCGCCTCCAGCGGCAGCAGGACCAGGACAGACAGCCAGTTGAAGCAGTCGTGGATTGTGGCACCAGCGAAGGCTCTGCAGAGGGTCACAATCATTTTCTGTGATAAGGTCAACCATCAGCACGATCAACTACTCTGAATGATTGCTTGCTAATCTGCTTTTCATGGCTGAACTGTCTGGGATGTGTGTGTGATGTAATGAGCATTTTACTGTGTTTGACTGTTATGAAAGATTAATAAATGTTATTTATTTTACTACAGACTGAGTAACATGCCATCTGCTCAGTGCCACATCTTTTCATGCCACTGGTTTGGCATCAAGGTGAATCGGTGACATTATTTTCACTGTTAAAGAAATAACACTCAAATGGAAGCTGGAGAAGAGGGAGCAAAATAGTTGTTTCTGCACCCGCATCTTCTTTCTCTCCAGCACTTGTATCATTTGTCCCTCCATCATCCCACTTATCCTCTTCACTTTTCCATTTCAATCTCAATTTCTCCTCTGCTTCTCCATCATCCGCCTTTCTTCACTCACCGCTGAAACTCGGTCCTCTCGGCTGCTTGCATCATGGCCACTATAGTGTTTGTGACTGAAGTCCCAATATTGGAGCCCATGATGACTGGAACAGCCGACCTCACCTCCAACACTGTGAGGTAACACCACAGAGAAAGATGCGAGAAATAAAGATAAAGGAAATGATACATCATGCAGATAATACCAAACACGATCTTCCACATTTCAGATGCACCAAGTGTTTTTGGTGTGATTGTGATTTGCAGGAGATTGGGGGTAGTTTAGCCTCCACACTCTGCAGGGAGGGGGCTATTGTTGAGGATGTCTGTAATGAGGACACACTTCCACCGATTAACATCCATGGCTATGCTTGTTTCTCTTTTTGATAATTACTTATAAGTTCCCTCTTAGCTCTCTGACAGAAAAGCTTTGGAGAGAGAAGTATACTCCTCCAGCATACTGATTGACTTTAACCACATCGGAAAAACCAGCATGTACAGGTCATAACCTCATAATGCCAAATGAGACTGAGTGATAAACTGTCGACTGACTGAGATTACAGGGCGTGAGACGGTTTGATTTGATTATCTGTATGATGCCACTCTAAACTGCCAGATGATCATTTTCAGGTAAAAAAAAAAGGAAAGGTTCAATAATTGTATTAAATCTAATGGATAATGCCAATTGTAAATGTATTGTCTTATTGTCATTTTCTTTCAAAGGTATAAACCAATAAAATGTATTTCCACTAAGTATTTTCTGTCTTGCCTATAAGCCTTATGTGGCTTATTATGTCCCATAGCCCTCCATTGTCATCCAGAACACAGTGTTTTTATGTTGTTTTATGTTGTCGTTTGTTTTTATGACTCTGTCTGCCATTGTTGTGGGGGTTTTTTTATGATTGTCTGCCCTCATGTTGTTGCTTGTTTATTGGTGAGCCAAAGACACATTTTTCCACTTTGATAGACATTCTGTTCTATTCGGTTCTATTCTATTATATAATCAATGAGTGACAAATTGCTGTAGTTACTCACAAGAGTAGCTAGAGTTATCAGAAACCACATACCTGGGTTCCCAGAGAGTGGCCATGGAATGTAAGCACGAAATTCCAATTCATATTCATCATATTTATGATCAGTGTTATGAGATACAGGCTAAAGATTCCTTCAAGCAAAATAAAATAATAAAGTATACATAATAAAGTTTGTTAAGATGCAGCCAAAGATACAAATACTGTTTTAGTGAAGTTTACAAAAATGAGCCCAACTGTTCCTTTTGAAATTTGGTCACTTTTTAATGGTATTAGCTTTATCCTGTGCTATGAAAATGCCCTTCTGGGCTCCTGGCCTGCTGGTTCAATCCTCTTGACTGCTAGAGTACATTTAGGTATATTTAAATAAACAGAGTTGAATCTTTAACTGTACTTACACAAATGTATTTGCTTACATCTATGTATTCAGTAAGCTACATTCACTAATTTGTTCCTCAAAGCTGAGCAGCAAAGCGATAGCATCATTTACTGTATCCACCAAAGGCAGCACAGAATGTAATTGTGCTGGGAGCCAGAAGATCAGATTAAAACCATAAACCACAAATTAATTAGATCTATTTGTAATTGCCACAGATGCACCATGGGATTCTCCAGTCTTTTCTGTTTTCATTGCTTCGTCTCTGTCTGTGACTTAGCATGCAAAATAATCACCTGCAGAGGCTTTATAACCCATAACTGAGGCTGGATGAGGCTGATTCTTGTTTAAAACTCACGCTGCAGAATGCTTACACACACACACACACACATACGTATGTGCCTACTCACGTCCAGAGGCCACCAGACTGACGATAATAGAAGTGGAGGTTGATGAGCTCTGAACCAGCACAGTAACCAAGATCCCCACCACCAGCCCTGCCACAGGGTTGGACAGCACCGCGTTGTCCTGGAAAATGTCCCCTGCCACTTTACCTGGTTAAACATGCCGCCCACATACACACACACACACACACAGAGAAGCATGCTGGTCTCATACACGACAGGGATGCCAGGAGCAATGTAAAACAAGAGACTAACCACTCGTTTCTCGAAATCTAAAAAGGTCACCAGATGAAGAGTTGCAGTAAATTATACAGCAGGGGCCCAGTAGGACAGTGTGAACCCTTCTGCAGTGAATCATTTATTTATCAGACGTCAACTGGCTGACTCACTATCAACCCGGTGAGGGACCAGTGAGGGTTCACAGTACCTACCCCCTGCTAACTGGAAGGCAGAGCTCAGAGTGTCCAGGGAGCAAACAAAGAGAAAGAGGAGGACGAGGAGGAGCGGGATCTTGGACAGACCGATAAGCAGCTTCCCGATGTTCGCATCTGTTCAAAACAACAAACAGGGAGATGGTCAGGCTCATAATATGAGAACAGAACTGACCTATTTTCAACAAATGTATCACAGATAACATTGGTTGGTTTCTGGCAGAAACACTTAACTGTCTTTTTTTTCTTGTTTTTGTGCTTTTAGTTTTCTGGATGAGAGAAATAGCCTCAGAGAGCAAACTGCACATGAAGAGAGTGGAGCCATGTAACACATTACATTACCCATATGCAGCCAAACACTGCAGGAGTTTGCTTTTATTGCCCAGACCGTATGATCCCACTGGCTTTATGTCTCATTTGAGCATGTCCTTATCTAATAAGCACAAGCTTCAGCCACTAGTGTTATTATTTGGCTTTTAAAAGAGATCAAACCCTCTGCCTAGATAATGAGTGTGTGATTCTCCTCTTCATGCCACTTCATACCTTTCTTCAAGGGGAGTCTGTCAGCCTGCGAGTGTGAGGGTTTGTTTGAGTGGTGACTGGTATGTTGGTTGCAGCCCTCTAAAGCACCGCTGAGGTCAAGGGTAGAGCCGATACCAGACTCCCTGTCCTCCTCCAGGAGGAGTTTTGGCTGTGAGGAGAGCCGAGTGCCGTGCAATCTCATCTCTAAAAACAAAGAAGAAGCTCTCATGTGTGGGAGATCACCTCGGAAACATTTCAGAGATACAATAAAACAGAAACAAATAAGTTACCATCATGGACGAGCCCAGTGCTCCTTCCAGATGTCACTATGGTTATGGATCGAGAGGACATGGTGCTTTGAATCCTGTGTGGAGACATGCAGGTCATTAAAGTCACAGGATGACACCATTGTACAGGGAGCAAGTGCGAGAGTGAATGTGTTTATCACACCCCCACAGCAGTAAGACAAACCAAATGAGACCCACTTGTCTGTATATGAGCCAATAGCTCACTACACTATACTGAGATCAACAGACGAGCAATTAGAGAAGAATAAAGGCGGCCGGTGCGTGTTTGTAATTGGCAGCTGTCTTTGACTTGAGGTCAGACTGCACTCTTAAACCACGCACACCGCGAGTCATCATCACGCCTCTCAGCAGATGAAGGCCTTGTCAGAATCAATAAGGGAACATCCGTGAAACTCGTCTCGTTCTCCATTTCCTGCAGCTGCGAGTCATCTCTCAGGGGGACTAAAGGGACGATCCGCTGTCTATGGAGCAGCAAACTCCCCATCAAAGGTTTTCACGCTCTCGGCTTAAAGAGACTCTTTTCTCCCCCTTTTTATGTCAGCCACTTTTCACATATTTTGGGGACTCCAGCGGAGGAGGGAGTACTAATGTGTCTCTTAAAAGCAAAGAGGAGGGAAGTGAGTTCAGTAATTACAGCGGGCGTGATTATAGTAATTACAGCTACTGCATCGTTCTCATTCTGTTTCGCATCCTCCCTGCAGGTTCTGGTGCTGTTAGCATATGTGCATCTATCTATATGTGGCAGCGTAAGGAACAAGCCCCAAAGACTACAGCTGAATAAACTCTGTGTGTGTGTGTGTGTGTGTGTGTGTACTGGATGTTATCCTCTAATCCACCTGCCCCATGCTCATCTGTTTGTCGTCTGCCGCTCTCTCTGTTTCGGCTTTACTTTGTAACTTTGTGGTGTTTCTGTCACCATGGAGACATGTGTATATATGAGCTGCGGGTCCCACAGCATCAGATAAAAGACCAGAAATTGATTCAAAAGAAACTATTCATTATTTTGCAGTAACAGAAAGCTTCAATGAAGATGATAATGGCTTTCGACACATAATATTAGCACAAATATTCATCAGGAATATAAGATTATGGTATATTCCTACCTTGTGTGAGTTGTTGTGTGTGATCCCCTGCACAGAAAAAGCATGGAAGTGTAAATCATCTTTAAATAAGCTGAGGTGTCGGGAGGACACCTCATCCCTCGTTGATTAACCTGCCCGATCAACAGAGTTAATCAGTAACACAAACCAGTAACTTAATGATGCATAAGTTGAGAAAGCACGTTGTGTATTAGTGATGAATGATGTTTACACAATCGGCTGTTTTTCACCTGATTTGGGGCCGGATAAAGATTCCGGGACGCAGAGGCCTGTTGGGTGTGATTAATGACCCCTGTTGTTTGAGTCTTACACTTTGACATGTTTGAGCAGGAGAAATCTGACATCTAGTGGGAAGTGTGGGAAGAATGCATCATTTCTGCACTGCCTCTCACGCAGACGTCTTTATCACATACTGTAGTCCGGGCGAAAGGTAAAAGCCAGAGTATTAAATGATCATTTCTTCCTCGAGATAAGTCAGTGGAAGTATTTCAGACATGTACGGTGTAATCTGCTGGACTTGTGCAAGACGATCAGGTGCTTAGGTGCCTTGCCAGGACTCAAGATCATTTGAAATGAACTATCAGGGAGATTTTGCAAAGATCCTCTTAACGCACACGTACACACATTTCCTTGCACACCCCACTGCTCACAGGCAATGGCCTGGGTTGTGGAGCAGTTGGTAATAATTAGACCAGCTACAGTTCTGTCATATCAGCAGTGCTCTCAACCACATCGCAAAACCTGCTGACCTCACACTTGAACTCAGAGGAGCAGAACTTAATAACCCCCTAGACTGAGCTGTTGCTGCCCAAACCACTATGAGAGCTGGGAGCCAGAGAGAGCAATGAAGGCCATGTTGTTGTTGTTGTTGTTGCACAGGCAGCTGGACCAGAGCCGAAGCTGCTGCTGTCAGTGATGGCGAAGAGAGAAATCCTTGAGATTTGGTGCAGCCTTGAGAAGTGGGAAAGACAAACAAAGATGCACACGCACATATGAACAAACACATGTAATCAATTATACATACACACACACACGGCAATGCATAAATCTGTGGTGGGGTTCTGGACCTCTATGCTGCTGCTAATCCCCTCTCCAGATGTGCAAGTGGATGCCACCGTGCAGCCTGGGGATAAACCAGACAGAGGCCACTAGGTCAGCACAAGCCATCCTCCCTCTCAGGACACCTGCCAATCAACGTACTGTAAGTGCGCAGTATTAGTCGCGTCCTGTCCCGCCCCCTCAGAGGGCCGTGTTATCCTGTGTTAATCTTGCACTGAGTAATGCCAGATGTTGCTTTCATTAAGCTCTCCGTCTGTTAATCAAGCGAAGGGGATCAGAGAGGCATGATGGTTTGTTATCCCTGGACCTGTGGCAAGTGATGCACGTACATCAATGACGTTCCGCTCTTGATTTTTGTATTTATCATTATTAGTATGATCATTGCTGTGGCAAGGTGACCTACTGCTGTTGAAATAAGGTGTCATGATATTTGTAGCACAAGCAGGAAAACAATGATTCAGTCCTTTAGGGGGTTGGGAGGTTGAATGTTGAGGTGTAATGATATGTCCTTCACTGGACTTCCTCAGAAGATCTGGAAACTCCATCTGCTTGGTTTTGGTGCCATTTTGGTGCCATTTGGAAAAATACATTATTTGTGCTTAGCACATTTTCACTTCAATGGAGAAGTACAGTATATATACCGTATATATAACACAAAAAAGAGCAGCCAGGCTCTGGAACATCCTGCCTGAGGAAATACGACAGGCAGTAGCTTTCTTTATATCAAAGCTTGAAACTTTTATCGGACCACATTCCCTGATATTATTATCACTACTATTATTATTGTCATGATCATTATTATTATTTTGACATTTGTGAGACAAATTCAAGTGGTGGTTCAAACAGTATTCAAAAAACAAATGCAAAAACTGCTTCACCCTCGAAAACCTATTACTTATTTTATCACTTTTAGAAAATCTTCTCGCTGGTTTTGTTTCCTGAGCTGCAGACAGGAGTGGGTTTACTTGTATATAGTTGACATGGTCGGCAAAACACGTGAGACACACCTGATAAAGTTTAGTGACTTGTCAACATTCAGGACAAAAGATAATCATTAAGCACATTTCTTTTTATTTCCTCAGATTGAGACTATGACCTGTAGGAGGTGCTACAGGGGCATGTGTCATTTCCTCCATAGTATCTTAATGAATGATGTTTAAATTATGTTTATGTTGCTTTTAGAACCTAAAGAGGTATAAAAGTAATAATCTAACAATGTAAAAATAAAGTAATCAAAGAACTGATTTGATCCGTCTGATGTGTGATTGTATATGACCTTGTTAGATTATTAATACTGAAGCATCAGAGTGTTAACATTATGTTGTTGCTGCTACAGATGAAGCAATTGAACTCATTTATGTAGCGTTTTCATTAACAGCAGGTTTATCTGTTCGAGTCGTAAAATAAAGGAGACGAAGGAAAAATAAAGTTCTGAAATAAAAATCTCTGTGTTTTTTGTGACACTCGTGACACCGAGTGAGAAATCTGGAAAAAGAGAAACACTAAATCTCTGTATACTGAATCACTTCACAATGCAAATGCTCCTTCATTCAAATATTTTCAGTATTTTGAGTTTTGCAGGTATTTAATTCCTGGTGTGGGTGACAACAGATGAGGAATCATTTTATTGTCAATGCACATTCAGTGTGATTTGTATATGACACTCACAGTACAATGGAAACAGCTTCATCATGGCTGGTTTACATGAGATTGTCTTGTGTGTGTTCAATTTACCTTTTTTTTCACAGTTTCCTTTAACAAATCTTCACTTTGTTGATTTTTTACTTTCACTATTATCCTTAATATTTTGTATGTTACCTTTTGCACATTATTTACATTTTCATATGTGAATCATGTTGTTGTATGATGATCTTGTAGCCTTATCCTCCTACTGATCCCTTTTGTGTATCACTTCACTTCTTCGGTGGAGGACGAGGGTGTGTCAGTGCCATCGGGACACTCCTGCAACAAAGAGAAGACACTTCAGCCTTCATTCCTATTTCACAATGTCAAGGAAAGTAAAAAGAATTCCCTGGATTAATCCCTTGCTCCAGATCTGAACCAGAATTGAAAGATTTTATCATACTACAAGTTTTTTTTACTTATAGTATGTAGTTTTTACGAACAAACAGATGCAGATGAAATTATAACCTCCCTTACACAGGAAGTGAGGCAGGAGTATAGACACTGAAATACGACAACACACACACAGCTCACCTTCACGTTGTCTAGCTCTGGTCTGCCTGGGAGGGATTTTTGTGAGGAAAAGGCCTGCGAGAGAACAGAGGACAGTCAGAATACAGATCTGATCAGTGGTGAGAGATACTCAGGATATCTGGACTTCAGGCCACTGCTCACCTTCTTCGACTGCTGCATCTCCTCTGTTGATTTGGACCTGTTCTTCATGTGCTTCTGAGGAGAGGTGGTGTTGGGACTCTGCAGAGATGGATGCTCATGTTAGACACAGCCAGAATGACTCCAGTGTTTTTCATATCAGGGTTTCACTCACCTCATTTGTCTTCTGCTCCATGGCTGATTTTTTTTTCCTTTTTATCCCTCAGCAGACGTTCAGCACTGACGGAGCTTTGAGATTGATGAAGTCTATTGGAAACTCTGACTTTAAAAATGAAAAGACAGGAGACAGAATAATGAGGAGCTTCTTAGTCGTTTGGTCGATGTACAACAACAACATTTCACACAACACCTCTCAGAGTGGAAGTTCTTGGCGTGAAGCCGCAGACCAGGTTATGGATGCAAGGTTCAACTGATCCAAGATTGATCTCGAGATCCTGATGAACAACAATCAATGAGACGTCACAGGCGAGATGAAGAGTCTGCAGTTCTGGTCTCATTTCACTAGATGGCAACTGTGACTCAGACTCACTTCACTGAATTAAAGGTCCAGTGTGTAAGATTCAGGTGAAAGGGATCTATTGGCAGAAATTTAATGTAGAATAATCCTCATGATGTTTTCACTAGTTCATTTCATCTAAATTGTATGAATTGTAGTTTTCTTTACCCCAGAAAAGGCCCTTTATATTTAAATACTTTATATTTACATCGGGGGGTCCTCAACTGCAGTCTACCACAGGTTCTTTTTCATGTTTGGAAGGTAAGGGTGAGGTGAGAGGTGTTCAGCTGCAACATGCAATTTCAACACTAGATATCACTTAATTCTACACTGTACCTTTAAATGTTTTGTTGTGGGATTGTTTTTTCTCCTCAGTGGTTCCACCCTTGTGTTCAGTGATTATTTTCTCATAATGTAGATGCTGCATCAGAACGTCAGTGTTTATCAGGGCGCAGACTGTGGCTGAGGAGAAACAGCCGGTTGTCCACTAATCAGAGGGCCGGTGGTTCGATCCCAGTCTTTCCCATTCCATATGCCAAAGTGTCCTAAAATTACCTTAGTATTGCTTTCACTAGTGTGTTGTACAAATTGTTTTTTTTTACCCTTGAATGGGTCCTTTATATTTAATAGTTATATATTTATGTCATAATATTTTCATCTGGAGTTAATCCTGTCTTTGGAGGCTGCCATGCAACTTCACCACTAGATAATAGATTAAAAGCATATCAAATATCCAAAACTAGAATGGCACCAGTAAGAGGGCATACCTCTGCCATGGCCCAACAGTCCCCTTAAACTGCAGCAAATTTTAAACACAAAAGAAAGTGAATCCACAGATCAGAGCAAGATTTATTGTGTACCGTCTTGGCCCACATCCAATTGTTTTCCCAAGTTTTGTGGAAATCTGTTAGTAGTCTTTGTGTAATCTTGCTGGAAACAAACAAGAAGACAGACATTGGTGAAAACATAACATCCTTGGTAGAGGTAAAAAAAAAAAAAAGAATGACACAAAAGCCCTCAAAAGGAGGCAGAGGATATTAACACTGAGGGAAAAGACAAAAAACACCTCCTGCAGCACTGAAGGCCACAGTGAACACCTGCCACAGCCACATCCACAGCTGGTGTCAGGAGCCTCGGCCGCCGGGAACAAAACACCGCTGGGTCAGGTTGCATGAGACTGATTTTTTTTTTATAGTCCAGTGATGTGAATGGTGCTTGCTCTATGTCTGACACCTGACCAGTTTGATCAGATCAACACAAATGGGTTTCTCATTCTGCATGGACTATAACAGATGGGTTTATAATCACAGAAGAGACATCAGGGAATTTGGAAGATGTTGTTGAAACATGTTTCTGATCTATTACGCCATTATATAAATTAGGTATTGTGATCAAAATAAACGTGGAGTCTTACTGAAACCATAAACATGGGCTGCACAGACTAATCTTTCAGCTACAAATCATGTCCTTCGGCAACATGACATCTGAGCTGTAGTCGTCCAGAGCTCCATCTGTAAGTGCATCTTGTTTTTTCGTCATGGTACATCATGATTAGATGATAATTTTGTTTTATTTTTTTAAATATTGATTTTGCATGTGTTTTTTATGCAATTGTTATTTGCATATTTGTTGTGTTTTACCACCTATAATGGCAAAGTAATCTGAAAGTAAATCACAGCCTTTCAGGTTTTCTCTGAGATTTAATATTCATGAATAAATTAGCCACAATCACAGTAAAAAGAAGGAAAATCTCCTGTAATCTGCGTGATCAGGACTGTGTGGAGTTTAACCTGATTCATACTCTGTCTTTTGCACCTGATTTTGAATTCCTCTGTTTAGTGCTTAACATCTCATGCACGCATCACAGAGCTGTGATTAAAGGCTTAATTAATGGAAGTAGACACTTTGACTATTAAGCATAAATCAATTAATCTGTTTATCTTCACAGATTCCAACATTTAAAAAATTGTTTGCAATTAAATATTGTTGCATTAGGTGAGTCGGTGGCCCTGATTAGATAGTATGAGCACAAATGACTGTTAGGGTTAAATACAGCTTTTTAGTCGTTGTTTAAGTAATGTTCTTTTAATGTCCTGGGTTGGTTTAGGTGGTTTTATGCTTGTGTGCAGATCAGGCTATAAAATTCAGTCATTAATTGTGTCACAGATTGTGTATCATGCAATTTCTCCTCAGTAGAAATTAAGTCTTCACATTCTACATTTAATGAATCCCACATTTCTTGTCTATAGATGTACGAAACACCAAGCCAATATGTAACAGTTCATGATTTTACAGAGTAACTTGTAAACACTTGATCGACAGCAACCAAACAAGTCAAACTGTCCTTGGATAAAATGAATTAAATCCTCACTGGTGCCACATTTGACTTCAGAACATTGAGAGAAGCACAGAGAAACACAGAAATGTAGAAATCATAGGCTTTTAATATGAAGATGGACAACATGACACCTCCCCAGATGTGGTGGCTGGCCGTGGTACAGGTCTTGCATCATGCCTCCTCTATGCTAGCAGTGGAACATGGACAAAAGTCAAAGCACATGTCAAAAGTCACCCTTCCAACCTTTCTGGTGAAATGTACAGTATTGTTCTAGCTTGGAGGGGCATGTAAGTTTTTGTGTAGTATAAAGCCCACTGATACATTATGTATATATATTACTGATGATGAAATTAGTTCTTCCCAAGATATATGTTCCTCTAGATCTCTCCTGGTGAGACGAGAATGTATGCAGAGCAAAGACGGATTAAAAAGCTGTTCCATCGACCACCCTGCTCTCGGCTTTAGCCCGCTGCTCAACAGGAAGCGTTCAGCTCATAAACAATGAATGGGGGCTGATCGACAGGAAGTCACTCACCCCCTGTGACGCCTGACGTCAGTGGTAGCACCACATTTGATGCTGCGGGGAACTCCATTAGAAAGACCCAGTTAGATTGGATTATGTGTTATCCAACAAGGCCCTACCTGCCAGGCTGCATTCACTGACACAACTGAATCACCAGAGGGATTCACCAGCTGGAGTCCTTGCTTCTTTCATACGAGGCCTATTACCACATACATGGTGGTTGAGTTGGCACACCCAATTGGGTAGGGCTGTTGTTCTCCCTGCACTTACTTTAAAATGTGCATTACAGCCCTTTAAGGAGCAGAGTGGGATAATCTGAGGCCTGATGGTGGGGCAGGCTTTCAATGAGTCCTGAGTGCTCTCTCTTTCTGACCAGCACATGCAAGGAAATGACCTAACAGAAAATTATTTTTCACCTCACCCTGTCTCCCCCACCCTGCTTTTATCCTTCACTGTCTGCCCGTCTTTGTGTTTATGAGAAACTCCTCGACAATAACCCAAAGCTAAAATGTAAAGGATGGAGGTGACACAGGCAGGAGCTGAAGCTGCAGGAAATGCAAATTAGCTGCTTTGAGAAGCACTTCTCCACCAATTAGCACACATGAGCAGACCAACAAAGTGACATGTCCGACAACACGCACAAAATGCTCATAGGCTATTACGTGACCACACCACACAAAAGCAACACAAAGATTTTGGACTTAAAAGCTATTCAACTCTTTCTGCAAGGATGGTCAAAAAGAATATCCTTCCAAACCTTTCCTGCTCCCCATAGTTTTGACTGACACACAACAAGAAGAGGAGGATGAAACTGAGGTAGATTAGATCAACAATAGAGTATTTAACCTACGAGATTGTGAATAAAATGCTGATGTAAACATCTGCGTTATATAAGCAGAAATTCTGCTCCTGTGATTTGAATCCAGTGGCACAGACCATTGGCTCAGTACTAATTAACTCCCCAACTGAGGAGCTGAATGCAATAAGAACTTCTGGAGCTTTATCTCAGTCTGTGTGTGTGTTTTATAAGAAAAGGAAAGATATATAACGTAACAGCACAGCCAAGTTACATCTTCACTCCAGTTGTCTTCTTGCACCTCCCCACAAAAGGTCTGCCCATCTATCAAACAACTGGCTGCTGGAGATCATCAATGTCCATTCATCCAATCATCTAGCATTTTTGACAGTGACAGGAAATATCCCATAAGCCCCAAGTTGAGTGATGAAGACCTTGAAGATGGTTTCCAATCTGTCAGGTCAACTAATCACTGTATAGCTCCAGTCCAGGAGGTCAATCTGAAGTCTTGGTTTGACATTGTTGCCTCAGCACATCTGTACTGAACATCGCATGAGTTCACATGTTCAGGATGTGCGTAATTGTAGAGATTGTACGCGCACATGCATGCACACAGAGGTGGTCAGTGCACGGAGGTGTGCATGTGGCCAGAAGCTGGCACCAGCAGCCGACCAGAGAGCACATTAAGACGGCTCACAGTGGCAAGGACATAATGTCCTGTAATTGATGATGATGGGCCGTCTGTTCTGCCACGTTCAGGTGTGACACATTCACACACACAATAACCCCCCCAGCTGGATGGATTTAGTCTGGAGACACCTGACACAGCTGCTCTCAGCCTGAATCGCAGCTCAGGCATGTGTATCTCATCTGATATCTGAGTCAGTGCTAATGAATGCACTATCATTTTCATTTTCAACACACGGAGCACAGACTCCACGTCCTTCACTGGCTCAGCGGAATCTGGCAATGCACAGTAAACGTGCGAGCATTGATCTGATGGATGGGTTTCGTTTTACAGTACTCATGTATTCCCCCTGCAGGACTCTCAAAGGCACAGTGAGAATCTTTCAGGGCTTGAACACTTTTCTTTCAAGGTATCAAGAAACCTAGTATAAGCTGAAAATAAAAGAGAGAAGAAAGAGCTGGTGCTCAATCTGAATGAAAATGTTAGCTCTATGAGATTATCTCAAGAAAGCATGAGACAGACAGGAGGGGAAGATGAATGATGGGAGTGACAGAGGGAGAGAAGACAAGCACACTCATCTACTGACTGTACAAGCACAGCGATCACCTCAGATGAATGATATTGATGAAATGCTACATGGGGTAATTCAGACACTCACCTCCCTTCGTCTTCCCTCTTTCCTTCTCTCAGTTCAGCAGACGTGCAGTGGAGTAGACGGCACTCCTCATCTCACTGCTGCTATGGTGTCTGCAAGAGCACACCCCTCTCTGCCCATTCATAGGTCTGCCGACGCACCACTCATACAGGAGTACACACACACACACACACACA